TTTTTCACAGAACTGAATATGGCAACTCTCCCAATACTACTACATGTGCAGAAAGAGTCTTACACAATACAGAATCCTGTCCAAGATCACCCAGCTGCAGTGGAGAGCTAGGGAAACATCCTTGAGTTGCCAAATGTACCTGGAATGTTTAAAAGTACTTGAAATGTGGTAAGTTTCTGTCTTTCTCTATGAGCTCTTGGGGCAATTGGTAAGTTTTGCCTAGGTATCCCCAGTGTGCACTCATGGCCAGGACCAGGTCATGTTGAGATTTAAAAAAAAGGTTATTTAGAAGAAAGTTTTAGCAGTCTGGAAACTCCAGGATCTCTTCATGTAAGTGTTAATTATAATTAATTTTTACTCCTTTGCTGAGGAAAATCTAACAAATGGGGGAAAAAATGTTCGGCTATGGACAGAGGCTAATGTCTCTAATCCCAGGTACTCAGGAAGTTTAAGCAGGAAAATCACAATTTCAAGGCCATCCTGGGTAACTAAATGCTAACCTGTGTCAAAATTCAGGAAAAAGAAAAAAAGGGCTATAAATATAGCTTAGTAGTAGAATCCCTTGAGTTCAATGATTAGATTTCAAAACAAACAAACTTAATTAAGTCTACACAAGGTTGATAAGTAATTCTCAGTATTCATCACAATAAGAATTCATAGAGGAAAATTTGGTAGCTTTCCCTAAGAGAGAAACAGTCATATACCAGGTAGAGTGGAAGGTGAGGGAGCTTCTGGAGAATGAGAAAATGCAATTTCTGGCCTTAAACTTAGGTTATAGAGTGGAGCAGAAGGAAGTGGGACACTGGTGAGTGCAGGATGTGCAGTTGTTTATGAACAGTGACAGAGTTTCAGGCCAAATGGGCAGACTTTGAGGAAACAGGGAACCTGGATGTGTATCGGATAAACAAGTAACTTCTTCAGAATCAAGTCTGAGAGACAGGGAGCCAGAGGAATGGATCATAAGTGCCCCAAATGCCTGGAATAGAACAATGAGCAAGACCTAGAAAGTCCAAGACTGACAACAATCACTTTGACTAAGCAAGGAAACACATCTGGACTCAGCAAGGGTATATATATGGTGAATACTCAGCCAATTTTCTGCTGCCCATCAGTTCATCACTCTGCCTATGGGGACACTGCCCAAATCAATCCCTGGGTGGCTCAGAGACTAGGAGGGTGGCCAAATCTGCACCCTTTTGCTGCTCAAAATCTGCCATAAGAAATACTCTAGATTTTAATCAACTAGAGCAGCCTTTTTGTGATCTTTGTCCTGAGGGAAAACATGAAAGATTGTCTAGGACCAAGGAATTTCCCCACAAAAAGTCTACCTGACTTAATTTCTCATTAGTTAGATAAGGAATCTCTAGCTACTATATGCGATCTTTGGTACTTTTTGAACAGAGTATGATTTTATTTCATGTGTGTCCCCATTCCCATAAGATGTCAGTACTAATACAGACATAGTGGAGTTAGAGGTAGTTTCTGTGTTTATGGTTTACAAATTTTTCCTCTAACAATTTGTCCTTATGTAAGTACCCTGAAAGTTAATTCCTAAAACCATTAATCAAGGCATTGTGAAGGGAAGTGCAAGCTATGTGGCAGCTTTGTTCAAACCCTGTAGAAGATGTTTTTGGTAGAGTGATAACACGAGGCTCTCAGGAAGCCATGTTCATCCCACCTGAACCTGTGCTGTGAGTTAATATGTGTTTTACTTGAATTGAGCACATCCTTCCCCCTGGAGAGAGGGGACCTTCTCCTGCTGGAATTTATTAAAATCTTTCTTCATGTTCCCAGGTTTCCATGGGGAGCAGATGGCCTTCCTTCTGGAATTCGAGAGATGGGTGAATGCATGCCATGTGAGGATATTTATCTCTAAAGTACTACTATCCTAGGCTCATAAAACCTCCCCCTTCTCAGAATATCATGTTCTCAGGGAAAAGAAGAGAAGGTGCCCATCATCTGTTTCAGGTTGTGTTAAAGAGGTGGGGAAAGACTCTTTTTCTGAAGCCCAGAGGAGGATCTCACAAACCTGAAACAATCTGAACTATTGTCACTGCAGCACACATAAAAAGGAAACCAATCAGAATTCCCTTTGCCTCATGATTTTTCCAAAGATTGAATCCCCTCACCCCCAACTCACCTGCTGCTGCTTCTACCACTGTCCTCTCCTTGCTTCTTAGGTGTGAATGGTGGCAAGAGAGGGGAGCAATTTGACTGTCTGCAATTGGCCCTCTATATTCAGGGAGGAGCTGGGAAGCTACAGCTGCAGCCAGAAAGCAGCATACTTCCTCAACAGCTTCTTTTGGTTAGCTTTTACATTCTAGAATCTCTTTACTTAAAATCCAGGGCTTTTGATAATTGGGGTCAGTGTTTTTTTTGTGATGGTAAATAGTTGCTAAGTAGGAGGTTTCTGCATCATGCCCACCATGTAAGCAACCAGTATAAATAGGATGCCCATTTTCTGGAGAGTGCTCCATGTTTTCCTATTCACCTCTTTGACTCTGGTGTATTTCCTTTGCTACATCTCTGGATTTCCCTGTATACCTAGGAATCAATGTGCCCATTGTCCTCCTCATTATTCAGGTGTCCTGCCCCCATGTAAAGTTAGGCATCTTGTAGGCCACACAAACCAAGCCTCATAGCATCTGGAAGGGTTGTTCTCTCAATTCTGAGTAGAAAGCCATGTGCTGGGAGGAAGTCTAATTTTTTTTATCTGAGAAAAGCAGAACCTCCTGTGAAGCCAGGCTTTGATGGGGCATCAGCTGTCCAGGTGCCAACCCTGGTCTTTTTGAAACCATGTTTCTGAGGAAGACCAAGATTTAGCAGAGGGGGATATCAGACTGTGCTACTTGGGTAGGTCTTTGTAGCAGTAAAATATCATTGCCATTCAAAACACCTACATGTGAACAAATAATAAATAAGTTATAGGTAGAAAGGAAACAAAAAGAAAGACTGGGAATTACGACTTATTGATTGAAAGGCTTATGCTACTGTTCACCCTTTCACTCCCAAGTCAGTTCTGCCTCCTAGGCCTGCTACTTACTAAGATGGTTCTCCCAAGACTGACACTCAATTTTTTTTTATAAATCTGCAAATCTTCACTCACAATTTTAAACGTACTGAAAATTCACCCACATTGAATATTGCCCTGATATTTCACCCACAAATACAACCATGTTTACAGTAGTTTCAGTGAAGGGAGACACAAAACCTAAAACAGAAGGTACACTCCCAGGAATCCACAAGATAGGGCACTTTGCAATGTTATCTACTATTCTGATATCAGAGAACACATTAATCTAATGATCCTGAGAATTTCCCAACCATCTTGACCTGTATTTTGGTTACCAGACTGATGTCGTCTTCACATCCCTTCCCATGCCTACTCTTGAATTTCCTTTAAAAGAAGAGGTTAAGAAAACTAAGAGAATCTCTCACTCTCCAAATGACACCTATTCTCCCTGAAATGTTTATTTTTCATGTCCTAAATCAATCAGTTTGCCTCTAAGTTGTGTATTTCAATTCATTTCTGCAGTATTTTTGGGGGGATCCCCACTAATCATAAGTTGAGGTGCCCCTCTTTGGTAACTCGTCATATGCACATGAGGATGTGTGTAAGCGTGCTCGCTCTCTCTCTCTCTCTCTCTCTCTCTCTCTCTCTCTCTCTCTCTCACACACACACACACACACACACACACACACACCCATACACACAAAATTTCATGGGAAAAAAAACTTGGACAACAATGTGTGTTGGCTAATTACACATATTAGGACATGGTTCCCATTATGGGGAAATAGTATTCTAGAATCTGCAACAGCTGAAGAGGCCAAACTGCGATCCCTGTGATCCTGCCCACAACCCTCTTGACATGCACACTCTTTTCTTCTGGACATCTCTTAGTACTCATCCCTGGGGTCAAGTCACCTGCCCTGTCTCTTTTGAGGGCTAATCATTTCCTGCTGGATTCTAGAAAAATCAAATGACTATGCACTGATCTAGAGAGAGAAAAGATTGTGTGGAACCTAGATGTCAAAATTTGATAGGCTGCCCTTTTTTAAATAGACAAAGACCCTTGATTGAATGGATAAATAACATTTTTTTGAAAAAATATGCTCACAAGACTACCAATTGTGACATATTCTATTCCGAGACTTATGCTCATACAGTTTATTCAAGATTAACAGTTAACTGTAATCCTGCTATGAGGTCCCCATTACAACAAAGCATGAGGAGCTTCATGGATGGTCAGACCTCATAACCAATTCAGAGTCTTCCTGAAGAACCTGGTAAATGCAATGATCTGGGTTGTTCAAAACAAGTTCCTTCATCTGTTGATCCCCTCCCCCTTTTTTAAAGGCCAGTCTGCCTTTACCTAGATGGAACACTTGTTTGATTTCTAACTGAAACTGTATCTCCCAGTTTGCAAATCTATTCTGTAGCTGAATATAATTTGTCTTTTATTCAAGGTTAACCTTATTTATCCTTTCTTGGTTTGCACCCCTCTGTTATGACAGAATCCTGCAGCACTCAGTGGTGACCAAACACTGCCATACTCACAGCAGTCAACCTTGATTTTCACCCATGGAAACCTCCATCAGGGTCCCTTCAATGGTAATCTGGGACACAGGATCATCTCAGCTCAGCCCTTTTCCCAAGGACAATGCTGGTCTCATCTCTCACAGAATTGTCCCCACTGACTGATGATGAAGAAACCTAACACTATGTTGTCAAAATGATCTCAATTATGATCCAAATAATATCTACATAGGTTTAAAGGAGTTTGCAAGGAGAAATTCACAGGATTCAGGGTTCCAGAAAGGGACATGGAGCTGTAACTCTAAGTCCCTGAGGAGAAAGAGAGGAGACACAGAGGTTTTTCCTTCACTTCTCCTTTTCTTGTGGCACAGTGGCTTACCCGCTATGGCCATCAATTGTATGATCCTCTCCACAGTAATAATCAGCCTCATCCTCAGGCTGGATGTTGGAAATTGTTAAGTTAACGATTAGCCCCAGAACTAGAGCCTGTGAAGCAATCAGAGATCCTAGTCCCCTTGTTGTGGCTGCCATCACTGTTCACCTTCATCACATACTGGGGGCTGTTCCTCAGCCTCTGCTGATACCATAAAATGTAGTAGTTGCTGTGCTCACTGCTCAGGGTGCAGGTGAGTGTGGCTGAGGCTCCCAGGGAGGCAGATGCAGATGGCGTCTGGGTCAGCACAGGCAGGGCACAAAGACCTGGAAACATAAAATTTCATGAGTAATATTCAGTGCTCAAAAAAATGGGAAATACCTCCCCTTAGGATTTTTGGAAGGAAATAGAGAGAGGGTCCCCAGGTTGCTTTGGGATACTCTGACCTATGGAGAAAACAAGGGGCAGGAGGTAAATGTGAAGCCACTCCATAGTGGTGAGGTGCTTCCAAATGCTCTACCTTGAGGCTACCCAGCTGGGCCTGGATAAAATGTCCCCTTTTATCTTGTTTTCTTGTAGCTAGAGAAGGGAGGAGCATTGCATGCAAATTTGTTCTTCTCTTCCCCAGCTTATTTGTCTGCATTCTTGTCTGAGCTCTGAACTTGATGGCTCTGTGCTGGTAATATCCTAAATTCAGAAGAAGAGCCTCACTGGGGACTGGTGCAGTGGCACATGTCTGTAATCCCAGCAGAAGTATTGTGAGTTCAAAGCTAGCCTCAGCAATTAGCAGGTCCATAAGCATGTCAGTGAGACTCTGGCTCTAAATAAATTATCAAAAAAACAGCTGGGGATGTGGCTCAGAGGTTAAGTGCCCCTGGGTTCAAATCCCAGTGTCATTTAAGAAAAGAAGGAAGGCCATGTAAATATCAGAGGTAGAGAGGGCAATTCACCTGGTTGCAGCAGCCTTAAAGGAAAATCCATGATGACCTCTGCACTCGAACATTTCTAGAAGTTCCCAGCCCAAGTCTCACAATGCCCACTGCTGCTCACAGAACAAATGGCACCCAAAGTGCATCATTAGTTTATGCAGAATTACCAATTATGAACCCTTATTGTATGGCAGTATCTTTGACAAGTGTCTTAAATAAGACACTTCAGGCAGACATTTGCAATAACCCAACAATAGTTTTATGCTTGGGCATAAACTGTCCCCCTGTATTCTGATGAAGGAACCATCATTCAGAGATTAAGAGATCTCACCTATGTCCCCTAAGGAGAGAAAATTGATCAAGAGTTGCAGACACACTTCAGACTTGTCCTTTCATCCACTCAGTCCCTTGCCTCCCCACCCATTTCCTCCTCCCTCCCTCATCTCAGGCCTCCTGGACCTTCTTGTCAGAAGCCTTTCTTCGTTTATAAAGAACACTCTTCTCTCTAAGTTCTGTGGAAGGGAAAGGCATATTTTCTCTGCTTCTTCCATGACACCTTACCAATAAGAACTTCTGGAACTATGAGGAGAGAGTTAAAAGCATAATGAGAGGGCACAAGATCATAGATAGAAACAGAGACACTTGTAATTGAACACCTGGAATGTGCTGCAGGGTCAGCCTTTTTCCAGCTCTGAATTCAGGCAAGTTCCTCCTGCTCTCTGAACCTCAGCTTCCCTATCTGTGAAAAGAATAATGCTTGGATCAGAGTGGGGTTGTTTTTAAATGATGTGAGTCATGGGAAATATTGGATACATGCACACACTTATACACAGACAAGTGCAGGAATGGCTGTAGTATGCGTACTAATTAAAGGATGGGTCATCCTAACCACTGACTATTGTGCTTAAAGGGTTTTATGTGTCAGGTTCCTGGCCCTGGTCCTCAGGAACACCAACAGGATGTCTCCCTGTAGAACTAAAGCCAATTGATTTGTCTTCTCACCACTCTGTGATGAGTGTCAGCACTTCTCTAGCTGCCTCTCTTTGCTATCTGTGTGAACCTAGGGCTGGGAGGATGACCTTAGCTCCAAAATACTAGAAACACAATTACCAATGCTTTAAGAACTTTCCTCCAAACTGTGTGAGATGAGCCAGACTTTGTTTCTAGTCCTTCTGGTGTTGAAAGAAAGTGACACTGACAGGGAAGGAGTTTGTATCTCACTTCCCACCTGTGTGTGTCAGTGTGAGGTGTGTACCACTGCTATTCTATGACTAACAATAATAGCCACATCCTTGGCTTCTGCTGTGTTGGCAGACAGGGTGGCTATTGTCCCCTACGTAGAGTCAACATATCTCTCAGGTATGTCTGAGGGCTGCTCACTCTGTATATCATTTAAGCACAGGTCTGATCTGGCTTAAGCTGGTTCCAATGGATGTATTCTTTGGGCAGTGCAACCCAGAGCAGGGAATCATAGCTTTGTGTTCCAAGGGCACTGAAACTGAGGACATCTGTGCAAGCTCTTAGGCGGTCAAAGATCCTGAAAGAGAGTAGAGGAGAGATGGCCTCAGGATGAAGGACCCATTTTGAGTAGCCCCAATTAGACTGTGTCTGGGTTGAGTATAGTGTTTGAATCAGACCCAGCTCAGTGTACTTTGAGGGCTGAAACTAGGGATAGGTCACAGGCTGATCACTTTTACAGAGAGTGAGAAAGTGAACAGGAGTGGAATACAGGCAATGGTATTGATGTCCCAAGCTCTGGGTTTTGAAATCTACAGCACAGCTGCTCTCCACAAGATTGCTCTCAGGTCCTTGGGGACAGTAAATGTTTGGTTTTATGAAAATCCTCTCTTCACTGAGTGTTTGTGGTTAACATTCTAGCCAGATATGGGGTAGTACAGGAGAATAAAGAGAAGAGAGTGCCCGACTCCCTCCAGCTGCATATGGCAGAAATTCAGCCTTATATGCCAAGGCCACCTACCACAGTAACCTTCCAAATTTTGACCAGTGACCATCTTTCTATTTTCTTTGTGCTATGGTTTGTCTGGCCCCAGCTATGCAGAGTTGTTCACCTTCCAGGATCCTGGCCATGGGGTGAGCTGGAACCCTCTGAGGCTGTTGATGCCACATGATAGCAGAAGGTGGACCACTTATCCATGACTTCCCCCTCTTCTCCTCTCTTGGACTGTACATTCAGTTTGGCCCATTCCTGGTCATTTTATCAGAATACAGCACTTTTTCCTTATAACTGTGGCTAAATCATTTCATATATCACATTATGTTTGGTAAAGAACCTGAATATGTGGACTTATCACAACTTGCAATCTCATTTCAACGTGGTATTCTGTCTTTTCTATGACAGCCCCCTTCCACAATAGATTAATAACTGGCATCAAAAATTTATTCTTACTTTTTTCTCTTTGCAAAATGATTTACCTAATCTTGTTACTAGTTCCAGAAGCCTGAGCTGTTTGAGAAAAAAAAAACTGAAATCTCCATGGTATCTTCAAAGATTGTGGGAGTCACAGATGTACCTGGATAATCACAGGATGGTGAGTGGATAAGGGTCCCTCTAGCAAAGAGGATCCTTTCATTTAACCAAGGTCAGGCCCATGATTATACCTGAGTCTCTGAGTCAAGAGAGATTCCAAAGCACTCTGCAGAGTCTCCTCAAAGAGGTTGTTCATGCTCCATCCAAGGAAGGAGTCCAAGTGTCCCTTCCCCAACCTGTACCTGAATATTATCACAGAGCCTTAAATATGATGTGAGTGGACATGGGAGGAGAGGCCAGGATGAGTCAGAAGGCATCTCTGCAAGCTCCAGGCATGGAGGGGTAATACCTGGGACAACTAATGGATAGTGAACAATGGTACCGTAAGATTAGGCAGAAACCCATGAAGCCATATTGAAGGAAGGAAACAGGTGGAGAAGCCCCATATTTTCACACTGAGCTGCCTTCTGAGTTACCTGGATCTCAGCTTTTGCTCTTTAGTGATTTTCAGCCCTACAAAGCCTTCTCAAGCTGATACCTAGGGCCAGCTTCCTCCACTTTCTTTCTTAGGTGTGTGCTGTAATAGGTTTTGGGCTCATTTAAATGAGATTCTGACCCTCAAACTATGGTCATAGTAGCCCAGGGCATAGAATGGACTCTCCTGGCTTCCAAATCAATGCCTGATCATTGCTTTCCTCTCCTGGACCCCCATGCTGGCCTCCCTCTTGGTGTCTTCTGGACAGTTCTAGCCTCTGTCTTAGCAGCACCTCTGCTGCCATCTGTTGGTAGGAGACCAAGAAATGATGCTTCTCTCCAGATGACACCAAAAGCCTCTGTCACATGCAATTTTGTGGACAGAGGGTTGCCTTACTCTATGCCAGCTGTACCCTGCTAAGCACAGCACAGCACAGATAGGCAGCATTTGGATTGTGCAGAGAGGTAGGCTGGTTTATTCCTGTATCTGAGTCTCAGTATGAAAAGCTGTCTCTGGGCCTTGTATTGTGATAGGAAAATAGAGCTTACAGAATAAACTTGTAGGTGTTCTGTAAAGTGCCCTTTCCAGAGAAACTTCTATGACACCATTCAGGGACATTTAGTGCCTTTATATTATACATAGGAATCAAGACTGATGCTTTTCCCTGATCTGATAGCAGTAGTAGCAATGTCATCAGAACACCTGATGCTCTAGCACCACAGCCCAACTCTGTTTACATCACCAAAACTATCAACATCTTTCTCCTCCTCCTCATTATCACCTCTATTACAACTATTACTATATGACCCACTTTTACAGTGCATTTTGGAGGACTTTCTCATCAGCCCAGTATGCCTTCACTTTCTAACTGGGAACTTTCTTATCTGTTCTCTGCACAAGAAGTCTACTCCCACCATCCAGAAAAATAAATGTTTGAAGATTTTCCATATTTCCCCAGAATCATTTCCCCAGAAGGACAGAGTCTAAGGATGATATCACTTAATTAAATCCAGGTGGAGCTTCTTTTAATTAATGAGAGTCTTTTTGTTATTGTATTATTTAATTTGGAAAAAAAATAAAGCTCCATTCAAGTCTTCCCATTTCAAAGTGATTTAGTTCAGACCCAGGAAGACTCAATTAATAGGACAACATAGAATAGTGTTTTCAAGTTGTGGAAATAACCCAGGTATCCTACACTTAGGTCTTATTCTCTATGTAGGAGAATTTTGCCATGTCACCTGGGGAGAGGTGAGGGCATGAAGGCCATTCTAAGAGGCACACTTTATGTCCCACACAGCTCAGTGCCCACTCCTCCATGGCCTGGCCATCATCATGAGCCAAAATCAGCCTGTAAGTGATGGTGACCATGGGACTGTGCCCAGATTACAACTGTCAAACATGGAAAATGAGCAGGCTGCTATGCTGGGCATGGCTGATCTGGCTCCTGATGGTTCTCTATGTTCTCTTGCCTGCTCTCCTCTTTCTTGAATAGGTGGCTGATATGGCCACCTCTACAGGGGGAATCTGATTCTCATATGAACCTAGTATGTGTAGTTTCAGGAGACCAGACTCATTCTTAGAGGCCCACCCCAACATGCTCTCATGCTTTGAGGTCAGGGTCAGGCCAGGTTCAGAATCTTGTGGGAATGAATCTGGGGACAGGGCCTTGGCTTGTCACCTTTTTAGTGAGAGCAGCGGATAATTCCAAGCCATACCAAAGATGTCTTAGAGCTCTGCCTCCTAAGCCCGTAGCTGGGCAGGGATCTTGATCTTGAAACAGAAAGTTGAAATTCATGTGTCAGAGAGTGGTACTAAAGTTGGTGCAGTTCTAGATGATTCCAGAGCAGTTTAGAGGGGCTCAACCTAGTGGGAGATGGTTGGAGTGGGTGGTCTTTCAGGCCCCATGTCTGGCACCAGTGAGTCCCCTAAGTAGGAGGAAGAGGCCCCTGCCCTATTCACTGCAGCTTCATAGCTTGTCCAGAAGAAGCCGAACACTCTAGTACCACACCAGGGAGGTACTGAGGTACACTCTGGATTATAGGCCACACTGGCCCTGCAGAAGGCCTGTCCTTTGAGGATGTGAAAGTAAGAAGAAGAAAGAGTGTGTCTATGAGAAATACTGAACAAAGGGACCTCAAATATCAGATTCTTTATATGAAACACTCCCTACATTTTAAATCAGTGTGTGTTTTCTTGTGAAATTTAGACTTTATTTTGCAAGTATACATGGATTAAAGGAATGAACGAATAGTCATCTTTTGATGTAAAAATGGGTGTTGTGTTTTTTGATACACTCAATGATCAAGTTCACATGCATAATAAATAGGACGAAGAGTTCAATATCTACAGATAATGAGGACCTTTAGTCTTGTAGGAGGTTTGGGTGGAATGAAGTGTGGCCAGCAAGAGGCATCCAAGATTACCTCAGGTTTCATCAGAAACTGGAATGAATTTAGGACTCTGGGACTGCTTCTGAAGCCAGTGAGTTGGTCTCAGGTAACTCAGGTCAGTCCCCTGGCACCTACTTAGTTGTGAAGGAGGCTGATCATCCCATGGTTGTTTGTTATAGTGCCCTAATGGCTTCTCTCAAGCTGAAGGGGACAAAAGCTTCTAGCTATGTCCCTGGGTCTGGCCTAGGCAGGACCTGACATGGAGGAGAAAGGGGAATGTGTGCTTGCAGAGAAGAAGCCTTGGAGCAGGAGACAGAAGGAGGGGAGATCATGGATTAAAGGCAGGCGTGATGAGGGGGTGCTACAGAGGATAAAGGATATTAGAAACACTTCTGAGAAGGAATTAGAGCAGGGATGGCCAAGTTTTCCTCTCTGCTAGACCTCAGAGTAGCCCAGGCAGTCAATGACATTTCTTCCAACTGGAACCTTCCAAAAGACACAATTGGGGAACTCTCACATGTTCATTTTTTTCCCTGTGGAGATGAGTCATACAGGAATGGGATGGTTGACCCAATATCTCCCTACCCCTTACCTAAAGACATGTGTATCTGTTTTTTTCTGGGAATGTCACATGCTCTCCTCTCAACTGGTCATTGTCATCCTGCAGAATGTTTGTTGGGGCTAAGGACTGAGGTCACCAATGTCAGTTTCACTGTTGGACCCAAGACACTTGTACTCAGAAGGATGAGGGAGTAAACTACAAGTTTTTACTTTGGGACATTCCTGAAAAGTGATTTCCCAGGTAAACAGCTGGGTTCATTGAAGAAATAGTTCTTATCTGGAAAAACAGCTACCTTATCAAATAGAAGTTTAATAATTAATACCAACAGCAAAATTCTCCATGTCTAATTTGTACCAACCCTACCTAGTATAACACTAGGTACATGGATACACATCAAAACCCTCCTTGACAGACCTGCCTTAAATCTCCCCAGGACATATCTTCCAAATCTAGAATCATATCCTGTCCTTCCCCTTCTTAACCATAAATAAGACCCTGCCACAGTGAAATTCTCCTTAATACTAACATGCAGTTTTGTATGACTAATGACTTGCTGTGGCCTTTGGGACTGGCAGCTCAAGTTAATAAAAATGACTTGCTCAGGTGCCAATGGAATCAACCGATCCTGGGGAGGTACAGTAGCCTTCCCTTCATCTCTTAGGAATGTCTGGACACGGATGGGAGTAGACTTCCTCCACAGCATGTGGCATGCTCTCTGCTCTCAGGGTAACCAGGGCAGGAAGAGGTCTTTGGTGCCAAGCTGATGGTAGGTTTTTGTCTCACTTCCCTGTCTGCTCGAGTCACTGTGAGCAGCACTGCCATCCCACACCTGACAGTAATAGTCAGCCTCATCTCCAGCCTGGGCCCCACTGATGGTCAGGGTGGCTGTGTTCCCAAAGTTGGAGCCAGTGAATCGGTCAGGGATCCCTGAGGGACAGTTATTATCATTGTAGATGATGAGCAGCGGGGACTGTGCTGGTTTCTGCTGGTACCAGTGCACACTATAGCTGCCAATACTATCGCCTTCACAGGTGATTCTGGCTGCTTGTCCTGGGGTCACTGATACTGATGATGGCTGAGTCAGCACATAAGTGGCTACAGAGCCTACAGAGAAATAAAAGAAGAGAGAGGACTAATGGTGATAGACACTTCCCATGAGATGCCCAGTTTCCCCCTGGCCTGAAAAAGCTTCAGGAAATCTAAGGAACCAAGGGCATCCTGGCATCAAAATCAGCTGTAGTGACCCATGAGCCTGACTGGAGAATGGAGATTTGAACCCATGAGCAAGCCCAACCCCTTTCCTCCTCAGGCTCACACAAGCCAGAGAGCACAGTGTTGGAATTTCAGCCTAAAATCTCATCTTGCAGCAGGTCCTGAGCAGCATCATGCCCACCACAGACAGAGCTTTGCTGGCTCAGAATTAAGGCCAGGTTAGTTATACAGAAGCCTTGGGCGGTGTATGTTGGGGCCTGGGAGGCAGCACCTGTGTAATGAGCCAGGAGGCTGAGGAGAAGGGCCTTCCAAGTCATGGTGTCCCTGTAGCTGCTTCTTGAGTCCCAGGCTGGTCTGTGTTCCCCCTAGGCCTCTCTTATTTCCTTGTTGGGTACAGCTGCCTGTTATGCAAATCAGCCCAGCTTGGGGCTGCTACTGGAGGAAGCTGTGTGATGTCCAGAGAAGGGCTCATCCTTAGGGAGTCAAAGAGTGGGAGGGGCAGCTCTGAAGAACTACCCCCAGCTCACAGAAAGCTCCTTTACTTTATGTTCCCAATTTCTTGGCCAAGTCTCTATTCCAGGTGGTTTTCTAGCCAGGAATCTGGGCTGGCCTGGTTATATAATGCTGAGTCTGTCTTTGTCATCAAAATCAACTGTTTGGTTGACAATAAGAGGTTTTGTCAGCTATGGGATCCTGTCCCAGATACAGCTTCTAGGCTGTGTGGGTCAATCAAATTCTTCCATAAGTGAACCTGGTATCTTAAAGTTCCAATGAGGTGCTATATCTCTCTGCCCTTGGTGTGAATGCCTCATGCAGATTTGGATGCTCTGCCTCACATCTCCTAATGGCTGTAGGCAGGTTCTACACCTATCTTGAAAACTAATAGACACAGAGCTTCAGCATGTATGGTGGCCTGATAAATACTGGACCTCTGCCATATCAACAAGGGACATTCTTCAAAGATCAGATCAAGGAGACCCAGTCATCAAAGAATATTTACATCATTGTTATTCCCCATATTGGAGAAAAACCCAGCATTTCCTCCAGATCTCATATTCTGGTCACAGACCCTTCTGCATGTGAAATCTCCCTTCCATTGTGAGAGCGGTGTTTGGGAAATGTGTGACAGGTCCAGAGTTTAGCTCAATGAGACGAGTTGGGTGTGGGAAGGAGGTGTCAAGAAAAGCAGGAATATTTTTTTGTGCAAACACCTAAAAAAAAGAAAATTCTAGAAAAGCTAGATATGAGAGAAACTAATAACAAAAAATTGAACTTGTTTCAAAGATGACATTATAGAAAAATGACACCTCTTTCTCTAGATCTCAAGTTGTGGTCACTACTAATCCTCCTGCACTTTTGAATCCTGAATTCCAAGCCCAGCCCACACCTGGGGGGTTTTGTCAGGTGGTTGTCAACTGCCCTCTAGTGGCCACTCTAAACTGGCTGCTGTATGTCAGGGCATCCTTGGTCCAGGTGCAGATTCAGAACCTGCCCCACAGACAGGTTTTCTTGATCTTTGGTCAAGAGAGAAAATTCATCTTCTTCTTATGGATGTTACCATTCTCAGGACCAGGAAGGAGAGGCTCACATTACAAGTGAAAATATGAACAGGTGCATTTGGTAGAGGAAGGTCAGAAGCCATCTGAGTTATCTCTGCATAATTTTTAGGGTGGTGAGTGCTCATGGAAGTGGTTCCTGGTCCTGGTGCTGGATGACACTGTACTCAGGAACTGGCTCTTCCTAGTGTCAGATGCAGGTGCAGAGTCAACATGATTGAGTGGTGAGAAGCACAGACACAGACAGGACCCTATTCACACCAATGCTTATTCAGACCCACTGTGGTCTTCACCAGCTGCCATTCTGGGAATTCAGCAGAAACATGATGCATCCTTTGCTCTAGGAGTTTCCATCTTCAGGCTGAGGCTGTCGTTTGGACACACCTAGTGTGCAGTTTAATAGTCTGTCCCACCCACAAGAGACTGTGTTCTATCCCCTCTGTTTCTTTGGAAATGCAGACACTTCTTCCAAGTTCTAAGCAGCCAGCATTGACCATGTAGTACAAAACACAACCATGACATGGGACATTCAGTTGACCAGGGTTTCTTGTCAGTGCAAGTCTGCACTTGTGAGGAAGAAAAATATGTTGGTTTTTGTGTCATTTTTCTCCTTAACTACAAGTGAGAGGCTGGAGCTGCAAGACCAATCCTGGAATCTCAAGTCAAAACAAAAATGGAAGGATAAGATGGTAAGGATGGTGAAATAGAAGCTGAAAAAGGCCCCAGGTCCCACAATGAATAGGTGAATAAGAAAGCCAGAAAACATTATGCTTCAGGGTTTTTTTTTTTTCATTTTTTCATAAGGTAAGTATTTATTTCTAAATGCTTTGTTTTTGGGAAGTGAAAAAAATATTCGCCTCTATGTGCTCATGAGTCTGTTTTCCTGCATGTATTCTTGGATTTAAAGAAATTCCCTGACCCACTAGGGAAATAATTAGCACAAATAAATCAGTTAACTACAACAATGTTAGTGAAAAAAACATGCAGGTGTAATAATATGCAGATAATTAATACAATGATTAGAGAGAGCGCAACAGGCAGCCTGGGATATAATCTGAGACTGGAACTCTACCTACAGATGTGTCACTGGAACTTCCCTCAGGACTGATGAGAAATCACAGCACATGTGTGGGGACAACAGAGTCCATGAAGTTGGGGAAGAGACAGGGTGTGTGATGATGGGAGAAGAAAGTGACAATATGAGGGTAACCTGTTTAGTCCAAGATACTATTAACTCCTATGGAGGATTTTGATGGCAGGGTAAATGCACAGTCATAGCTGTTGATGGGGAAATTTCCAGGCAGTAAACTCAGTTGGATGGAATCTGTGAAGCACATTATGAACCTCAAGTACAGGAAGAGATGGGACACATTGGATTCTCCAGTCACTTCCCTGCTTACCTGGGACTGATGTAACTAGAGGGTGGTCGCTGGTTCCTCTCCTCTACCCTTGCAGCCAGGTGGAAACTTAGGCTAGAGCCTGTGCCTCCTGTCCTGAGACAGGTGTTGAGTGCCTTCTAGTGTCTGGTGAGTGACACAGTAATGTTTTCCTTGACAAGCTACACATTCTCTGACCTGGGAGTATGGAGTATGGGGAGTGTACTTCATATGGAAGAAAAAAAATATTCCAATGTCACTCAGGGCGGAGATGAGAAGAGTGAAAGCATCTAGACTCCCAATAATTACCTTCCCTCAATGTACTAGGGTCATGCTGGGCTGTGCAAGGGTGTGGAAATATCCTCACCCAAAATATTAGGATCCTGAAGCTTCATCCTCTGATTAATTGGCTGCATTCAGGGTATGCTGCTACCCATCACATGGGCCTGGACAGACTATATAAAGTGCATCCATCTCCCTGTACCATTCCCAAAGACAAAATATCCAGATTAAAAGCAACTACAGCAGTTATTTCATGGGTATTTACCCAAACATTTCCCTGAATTATCATTTAGGCCCTATGTATTTGTCTACAAAGTATCATTTATTGTCAAATCAGGGTCTATTAGCATTAAAGGTAAATCTAATAGTCAGTGGTATTTTGTGCAGTAAATTATATGTAGTTTGTTTTTTCCTGTGTGGCCCAGCACTTTCACAAATTAGACATCAGTTCATATGTAAGTCTGGAAGGTGTACATAGAGACTTTTTATTTTTAAAAAATGTCTGTAATGACATATCTATGTGATCTTAAAGACCTGAAGATAACATTGCAAAACCATTTCTCCTAGGATGTATGAAGCGTCCAGCCTGGATATAATATAATATTATTAGGGGTTTCAGAAGACATTTTCATATACAGGACAAATCTAAATATGGCTTTGCAAATCCCATGGTAATACACCTATTCTAGCTTCTGATCTCTCTCTCCCTCTCTCTCTCTCTCTCTCTCTCTCTCTCTCTCTCTCTCTCTCTCTGAACTTTTGATTAAAATTAGGGGCACTCAACCACTGAATCACATCCCCAGCTATATTCTGTATTTTATTTAGAGACAGGGTCTCACTGAGTTGCTTAGCATCTTTCTTTTGCTGAGGCCAGCTTTGAACTTGCAATCTTCCTACCTCAGCCTCCTGAGTCACTGGGATTATAGGCAGCATAGTGCCCTCCTAGATTCTGATCTCTTTCAGTGTTTTGTCTTTGCATAAAGATGTCATTCCAACCTAGAATTTATATTTTCAATAACAAGCATGTGCCTGTTTTGTGCTGCAAGGTGTTTAATTGTGATCAGAATTGGGAGGCTCATGAGCATATCTCCTTGGTTGTGGGAATGAGGTGGATTTTTGTCCTTGATCAAATCTAAGAGACATGGGGGCACTGCCTAATGGCATGGCTATTGGTTGATATTGTATCAAATACAAGTTCTTTTCTGGGCATGTCAGCCCTTCTCATCCTGAGGACTCCATACTGTTGGTCTCATAATTGTTTGTCTTAACCCAATGCCAAGTTCTGAGAGGAAGGTCAGAAACCAGTTCTCCCTTTTGACACACTCCATAGTGAAGTGGATGGAGGAGAGTGTTGGTACCTAATCAGGATCTCTAGAGTTTTTTTCCATCCTGGAATCTGTGAACTAGTTTCTTCAAAGCAGTTTATGGAAGTGCAAGACTTTGAATTTAAGATCCAACTAATTCTTTGGGAAAACTACACTTCCAATAGACATCTACACTTCTCTGTATCTTGGTCATAGTGAGAAACCAGCTGAGTGGGTCGAGACCAAAGTCATGATCATTGGTCAAAGGATGAGTGAGAATCAGGTGTGGGTGGGGAAGGACCTGTCTCTTCTGTGCATCTATCTGTGTTTTTGTAATCCAAGGAGCATTGCACCCACTGTCATGTTCTATGCCACAGAAATAGTCACTTTTGTCCCCAGCCTGGCCCCACTAATGGTCCTATTGGCCCTGATTCCCAAATTGAAGACAAATAATTGGTGAGTGGGCCATATTCTGTCACAGATGAACATCACAGGGCCAGCTTGGTTTTTGTTGGTAGCAAGGTACCTTTTCATTCCCTAATATACCTTCAGAGTATATGGTTCTTGCTGTCTACCTGGAGGTCATTGACACTGTGGGTAGCTGAGTCAGCTCATAGGAGGCTATAAACCCTGCTAGGAAAAAAAGAAGGGGAAGTAATGATAAAGGAAGCTTCCAAAAATTCCCCTGTCAGCCTAGTCTGTTCTTTATGGAGAAGATATTTTCTGTGGAGTGATATCATGAGTCTCACAGGAAGCTATGGCCATCACAGCTGACTCTGAATAGATGTGGTGTGAGTCCCTCTGGTTCATACTTGAAT